AGAGATTGTATACTAGAATTAAAAGAACAAGATACGTTTATTTAAGCTTATCTTCTCGTCCATCTCTCTCTCTCTCTCTCTTACTAAAGGTTAATTAAACATCATGGTCTCATACCCCAGGTCATTGCTTTGATGTCGCCAGGTGAGTGTTTGTGAGAATTTGTATGTATGTATGTATGTATGTATGTATGTATGTATGTATGTATGTATGTATGTATGTATGTATGTATGTATGTATGTATGTATGTTCCTAATCATTATAGCCTTTAATATTCCCTCACATATACAGGTAGATATTAATGTATGCTATTGAAGGATCATCTATATTCATATATGTCCTCTCTTCTATTTCAGTGACAGTAAGGATATAATATTATGATCTTATAAGAACTTCATTATTATATAACTATCAGGGAAATTTCAGCAAAGTTTTTATAAATGTTTAAGACAAGAAGATTAACTAAATTCATAAATAATAAGGTTAATATGAGGAAGAAATAAAGGTTGTTGATAACTTTCCTCGTTTCTGAAGTTGGATCGACTTAACCTTTTCTTGCTTATAAATCTGCCTTTACTTCCTGCGTATCTTCGGCTCCAGTTCAGTTTATTTCTACCAGAGTGAAATTTAGGAAGTGGTGATCTTGCCCTCTTTTACTATGAGGAAAAAAAGTTATATTTTAGTGTGTGTGTGTGTGTGTGTGTGTGTGTGTGTGTGTGTGTGTGTGTGTGTGTGTGTATGTGTGTGTGTGTGTGTGTGTGTGTATGTGTGTATGTGTGTGTGTGTGTGTGTGTGTATGTGTGTGTGTGACCTCCATGACAGTAGGAATCATCACACCGTTTTATGGTTCCTGACGATATGAAATATTTACTTTTCTTCTTCTTCATGATGTGATGTGATTGAACTGGGTTTGTTATTATGGTGTAATTGTGTTTTAGGTGCTTGAGTAATATTAAAAATGTCTTTTAAGTCTCTACATTTGACAACAATAATTATGTGTTTTTATGGACGTTAGATAGAACTGACATGTTTTATTATCCTGACTTTCTTAAATTCTAAATGTAAATTCCTCTTGTTGTCGTCCTCTTCTAAACCATCACCTCACACGTCTAAAGTTTGGAAGCAGGAACAGCGTCTATAGAAATGCCATACTAACATGAACGCTTAACAACGTAGTGATACAAATTCAATTAGATTTTCATAGTTCCACAAGGAGTAATAAAAGATTGGATATTACTCTGTTTTCTTCCCTTTTGTCTCTCGTTATAAAAACATATTCGATTTCTGTCTCTTTACGACCCAGCAACCATGGCACTGTGTCTCACTTCCTCTGTCTCCATCACGATGAGTTTTGTCAATCTATTAATTAACGGAGTCAGCGAGTCAGGTGGAAAGTGACAGATGAACTGACTGTGCAAATGATCGTCTAGTCTTTTATGTCTGTTGGTTGACTGCCTTTATTAATTATAGAACTGACGAACTAATTATATGTGCAGGTGAGCGACGACATGAAGAGATGATTGGATTATATTCTGATGTAGTAATTTATTGATACATTAACTATTACAAAAGCAAAGTAATGTATGGAATAATTGGGTGATTGAAAGAATATTATATTTTACTGACAATGTTTTTATTTCGTAAATGAATAACCAACAAGCACCTTCGTCACCCGTGAGTTAAGTTACGCACTTCGTTTACCCCCTCCCACCTCCCTCGCTAACGCCAAGTTCTTAGTATCCCTAATAACAAATTTCCTAGTTTACCATTAGACATCCCATGAAGGAGGCAGAAGCGGCTGACCAAGGAGTGGGCCACCCTGAGGCCTCCCAAGTACGGACCCGCCATGACTGGCTAAGAAGCGAGTGGTCAAGCAAGGTAATTACCCTGAGGCCTCCCAAAGACGGGCCCTCTGTGAACCAGCCATATGCAAGTGGCCAAGCAAGGTGGACCACTACTCGAGGCTGCTAGCCGGGTGTCCCTCGACCTGAGGCCCGACACAACTATACCGTACGTATTCCTTGTCAGGTTAATTCACCTGTTATAGAAATGAGAGCTTGTAACTGTACACACACACACCTACACGTACATTAAACTCTCCCTTGACCAGGTTAATTGACACGTAACCAGTTTGCTTATGGGAGACTTTTCGTTAACTGCAATTTTCAGAGTATAATTATGTAACCAAATTTAAAATTAACCTAAGTATGTTTACAAAAATAACATTGCCGATAATATTAATAATACTGAAAGTAAATACACTAATAATATTAATAATAATGCCAGTAAATGTATTGATGATGGTAAAAATAGTGATGATACTATTGTTAATAAGGAACAGCAGGTAAGATAAATATATTACTTGTAATGATAATGACAATAACAATCTGTCGCTGAACATACCGGAACTAGCCATCAAGTCCCCGACAAACTAGCCACCAGATCATCGACAGAGTACACAAACAGGTTCTCAAAAGGTGTTGTGAACTAGCGTAAGTATTCCATTCTTATTTATTATTTAATTTCTCTTTATTTCTCCTCATATGTGTTACAGAAGTACCATTACGAACTGGTGTATCTAAGAAAGGCCTTTGTTTATGTATGTTTGATCTATCGTCTCTGCTCCGCCCACATACACGATCTATCGACTAAGCCCCACCCACCTAATTAAATTATCGTTTTCCTCCACTCACATAATTGATTTAAGGCCTTAGCTCCGCCCACTTCTGACGTCATTAGCAATCCCTTACTTAACTGTGATTGGTGGACTAAAATGTAAATCCAAGTAACAGCCAATAGGAGAACAGATCAGTCAGTCAGCACAACACCCTAACTTATGTTTTCCTGTTGGATATTTATTCTCCTTTACATTGTTCATGGTGAGATGATACTGGAAATGCGATGGGCTGTGTTTTATTCATATCTCCCATTGTTCTAAATGTGCAAAAACAACTGTCCCCAGGGTCCCTACAGTGACAGTGGCCCCTGGGGTTCTCCCATTTGCCCTACCGGGTGAGTCGCCCTAAAGGGCTCTACCAGAGGTGGCAGCACACCCAGTGGCCCTGCCAGGGCGGTGGCGCACCCAGGGGTTTTACCAGGTACGGTGACACCCACAGGGGCCCTTCCAGAGGCATCGGTGCCCCTGGCAGGGCCTCTGGGGGCGCCACCGCCTCTGGAAGGGTCCCGGGGGGCGCCATCACCCCTAGCAGGGCCCATGGGGGCGCCAACACCCTTGAGACGTCCCGTGGGGGGCTGCTTCCCTCTTGTGAGGGCTTCTGTGGGCACCACCGCGTCTGTAAGGGCCCCTGGGAGCGCCACAGACCATGTCAGGTCCCCTGAGGCCTCCGCTGTTCGTGAGACGGCCACCTGGAGGCGCCGTTACCTCTCAGAGGTACCCTGGAAGCGCCACTGCCCACTAGGAGGGCCTCTGCGGGCGCCACTTCCCATGGCAGGGCCTCTGCGGAAGCCAGCACCTCTGGCAGGGCCCCTGGGGCCGACATCACCCCTGGCAGGGACCCTGGGGGAGCAGCCTCCCTTGGTAGGGCTCCTGGGGGCACTAACACCCCTGAGAGAGCCCCTGGGGCGTTGCACCTGGTAGGACAAATACGAGGGCCCCAGGGGGCACTGTCACTGTAGGGACCTTGGGGGCAGTTGTTTTTGCACATTTAGAACAATGGGAGATATGAATAAAACACCGCCCATCGCATTTCCAGTATCATCTCACCATGAACAATGTAAAGGAGAATAAATATCTAACAGGAAAACATAAGTTAGGGTGTTGTGCTGACTGACTGATCTGTTCTCCTATTGGCTGTTATTTTGATTTACATTTTAGTCCACCAATCACAGTTAAGTTAGGGATTAGTGGACGTATGCAATATGTACGACACTGCAATCAAAAGCTATAAATGTCCAGGCAGGGGGTGCCTCTGGTAGGGCGTCTGGGAAGGCCCATGAGGGTACCGCCGCTCCCTGTGGCGCCAGCGCCTCTGGAAGGTCCCCTTGGGGCACCGCTGACCATGAAGAGAGTCCTTGGCGGAGCTGTTGCCCCTAAGGAGTGGCCCTGTGGGCGCCTTCGCCCCTTGGCGTGACCCTGGGGTCACTACCACTTCTGCGAGGTCCCCTGGGAACCCCGCTCCCCCAGAAGGGCCCCTGGTGACACCGCCTCACCTGAAAGGGCCACCTGGGGGCGCCGTTGTCCCTAGAAGGTCCCAATGGAGCGCCGCTGCCCCTGGGAGAGCTTCTGTGGGCGCCACTACCTCTGGAAGGGCCCCGGTGGGGGCCTTCATTCCTAGCAGAGCTCCTGGGGATGCCCCCGCCCTTAATAGGACCGCTGGGGGCGCCAACAATCCTGAGACGTCCCGTGGAGGGCCCTTCCATTTGCCCTACCAGGTGCGTCGGCCTTAGGGGCTCTCCCAGGGGTGTCGGTTTCCCCAGGGGCCCTGCCAAGGGTGGAGGCACTCCCAGGGGCCCTGCCAGGGGCGGTGGCGCACCTAGGGGCATTTTAAAGGTGCGGTGGCGCCCACACGGTCCCTCCTAAGGTCACCGGTTTCCCCAGGGGACCTCTCAGGTGTGGTGACGCCCCCAGGGGCCCGCCAAGGGGTAACGTCGCCCACAGGGGCTCTTCTTACGGGCCACGCTGACCCTGAGGAGAGCCCCTGGGGGCATCGCTGCCCCTAAGAAGAGTCCCTGGGGGACACCTCATCCCTTGGGGAGCCTCTGGGGACACCTCTGGGCATCGACACCTCCCAAAGGTGTCGGTGCTCCCAGGGACCCTGCCAAAGGTGGCGGCGCTCCGAGGGGCCTTGCCAGGAGCGGTGATACACCCAGGGGCATTTTCAAGGTGTGGTGGCGCCCACAGCGTCCCACCCAGGGGTACTATTTTCCCCAGGGGACCTCTCAGGTTTGGTGGCGCCCCAAGGGGCCCTCCGAGGGGTAAAGGTGCCCCCAGGGGCCCGCCAAGGGGTAACGTCATCCCCAGGGGCTCTTCTTAAGGGCAGCGATGCCTCCAGGGGCTCTCCTCAGGGTCAGCGGTGCCCCGAGGGGATCTTTCAGAAGCAGTGGAGCCCCAAGGGGCGGCGGTACCCTGAGGGGCCTTCCCAGGGGCCCTACCAGAGGAGCCCCCTGACAAGAGACCCATAGCTTTTGGTCCTAGTGTTGTACCTATTTCATACGTCCAGGAATTTTTTACTTAGCTGTGATTGGTGGATTAAAATGTAAATCCGTGTAACAACCAATAGGAGAGCAGGGCAGTCAGTCAGCACAACACCCCAACTCATGTTATGCTGTTGGATATTTATTCTCCCTTACATTGTTCATGGTGCTATATGATACTGGAAATGCGATGGGCTGTGTTTTATTCATACCTCCTATTGTTCTAAATATGCAAAAACAACTGCCTCCATGGTCATTACAGTGATAGTGCCCCCTGGTGCTCTTCCATTTGCCCTACAAGGTGTGTCGCCCTTAGGGGCTCTCGCAGGGGTGTCGGTACCCCCAAGTGCCCTGCCAAGGGAGTCTGCACACCCAGGTGCCCTGACAGGGGCGGTGGCGCACCCAGGGGCTTTACAAGGTGCGGTGGTGCCCACAGGGGCCATCCCAGGGGCACCAGTGCCTCCAAGGGCCCTCTCAGGTGTGGTGGCGCCCCCAGGGGCCCGCCAAGAGATAACGTCGCCCCCAGGGGCTCTTCTTAAGGGCAGCGATGCCCTCAGGTGCTCTCCTAAGGGTCAGCGGTGTCACCAAGGGACCTTCCAGAGGCGGTGGCGCCCAAAGGGGGCTGCGGTAGCCACAGGGGCCTTCCCAGGGTCGCTACCTCACCTGTGAGGTCCCCTGGGAGCCCCGCTCTTCCAGAAGGTCCCCTGGGGACTCCATCGCCCTTGGATGGGCCACATGGGGCCATTGTTGTCCCTGGGAGGTTCCATGGGAGCGCTGCTGCCCCTGGCAGGGCCCCTGAGGGTTCCACCGCTTCTAGAAGGCCCCCGGTGGGCGCCATCATCCCTAGCAGGGCCCCTGGGGGCGCCGACACCCCTGAGACATCCCGTGGGGGGGGGGGGCGGGGCGCATCCCCCCTGTGAGAGCTTCTGTGGGCACCACCACGTCTGTAAATGGCCCCTGGGAGCACCACAGGCCATGTCAAGTCCCCTGAGGCCTCCACCGTTCGTGAGACCTGGAAGCGCCGTTACCTCTCAGAGGTCCCCTGGGAGCGCCGTTGTTCACTGGGTTGGCCTCTGGGGGCGCCTCTTACCTTGGCAGGGCCTCTGAGGGAGCCACCGCCTCTAGCAGGGCCTCTGGGGGCGCCCTCACCCCTGGCAGGGACCCTGGGGGCGCCCCCTCCCTTGGTAGGGCTCCTGGGGGCGCCAACACCCCTGACAGAGCCCCTGGGGCGTCGCACCTGGTAGGACAAATGCGAGGGCTCCAGGGGGCACTGTCACTGTGGGGACCCTGGGGACAGTTGTTTTTGCACATTTAGAACAATGGAAGATATGAATAAATAAATACTCCGCCCATCGCATTTCCAGTTTCATCTCACCATGAACAATGTAAAGGAGAATAAATATCCAGCAGGAAAACATAAGTTGGGGGTGTTTTGCTGACTGACTGCTCTGTTCTCCTATTGGCTGTTAGTTGGATTTACATTTTAGTCCACCAATCACAGTTAAGTAAGGGATTGCTGGACGTATGCAATATGTACAGTACAA